AGGTGACCCTGCTTCGGCAGGAGGGTTGGACTAGATGACCCACAGAGGTCCCTTCCAACCCCTACCATTCTGTGATTCTGTGAGAGGAGCTCAGGTAGCAGGACAGAGACAGGTCAGCCCTGACACAGGCAAGTGACACAAACAGTACAAAGGGAAAAATGCTCAGCCTCTGGGGAAATAAAACTGTTGCAAACCCCACTGATACCATTAGATGAGAAATCCTTTAAATCAAGGGCAGGTGATCTAGGGCATGAGTACAAACCATCACAGCATGGCAGGGCAGGGAGCACGAGAGGCCAACCTGACTGTCTCAGGAGCCTTTAGTGAGCAGGACCTCATGAAGGAACTGGAGAGAACAGACACATGAGTGTAACACTCTAGTATGGAGCCCACGAAGGAGTTCTAATGGTAAGCATAGAGATATTTATATGTACATTATACATACATATATATATACACATTATAAGGGATGACCTTATAGCAGCCTTCCAGTACCCTAAAGGGGCCTACAAGAAAGCCAGAAAGGGACTTTTTATAAGGGCATGCAGGGATCGGACAAGGGGTAACGACTTTAAACTGAAAGAGGGCAGATTTAGATTAGATATAAGAAAGAAATTCTTCACTATAAGGGTGGTGAGGCACTGGAACTGGTTGCTCAGAGAAGCTGTGGCTGCCCCCTTCCCCGGCACTGTTGAAGGCCAGGTTGAATGGGACTTTAAGCAACCTGGTCTAACAGCAGGTGTCCCTGCCCATGGCAGATTGGAATCTTTATGGTACCTTCCAATCCAAAGCATTCCATGATTCTATGATTTCATTAAAGCATTATTTTTTTTCTCCACTGGCCTGAATTAACATAGGGACACAAAGTATAAGAAGAGGACAAGAAACAATGGATTTCAGAGCAAAGCCACCACATGCAAGAGGAATCTGAGCTATGGCTCTTCTCTCAGCCCTTCCCTCTGCTATTAATATGAGTAACTCAGACATGGTGTCTCTTTAACACAGCATCAAGTTCACACACTTTCCACCCTGGTCATCATATTATTCTGTCAAGAACATGTTACAGAATGCAACTGTAGTGAGCATTTTCATTTACAGGAAGATGTAGTTTTGATGGCTATAACAAGATGTGATCTGTGCTCATCTAGCAACCACAGGGGATTACAGAAATGTGCCCCCTCAGCAAGGTGCTGTCAGGGAAATCTGACTCACCTAATTTTCTCGCTTCCTGGTTTTGTCGCTCTTGCGGCAGCGGAGCATAGCTCATCCGTCGGCTGCTCTCTCCGTACCCACGGAGGTAACCTTGGGATCTGCTGCGTGGACCCCTGAAGCCTGCTCCATAAGGTGACTTCCACCGAAAAGATAACTTGCCATCTGGAGACATGGCGCGCACTCTCAGAGGTCTGTTTGGCATGTCCTTGTCTTCAAAAAAATAAGCAAATACACACACACAAAACCCATCACAGTTATTATGAAGCATGTGACAAGTATAGCAGCCCACATACATCTGTTGCAAGCACATCTATCAAATCATGTCAGAATAAAGGGCATACTTCTATAGTTTTTTAATTTTGCTATAAAACCTAACTGTAGTAACAACAAGTTTTCCAAGTGGGATGTACAATACTCAGTAGTGTCTTTTCCCAGGCTCTTCAGACAGATTGGTGCAAGACACCGAAAGTGAAAACATATCGTAATACAAGGACTCCTGCCAGAAACTTGGGGTGTCTCATAGCTTTCCTGTTTCATCTTTTCTTTTTTTTTTTTTGTTTTTTTTTTTTTTTTTAAATTCCCTTTCCCTAGTTCAGGCAAATCAGTACATTATTTTTTTTGGCAACTGCTAAAAGTCCATGTAAAATTGTGCACGTAACCATTTCACTATTTCTAAACTTTCTTTTAGAAAGCAATCCACATTAAAAGCAGGTTCTATTCTCCTAAAGCCATCTCTAATCATTCTGCTGTCCGACAGCCTCATATTTAACAGGTCTGTTCTGCACGTGCTTCAACTCATGACTTCCCAAACTTCCATTATACGAACCCTTGAGCATCCAGCACCGTAACAGGTACCTTACGCAAATTGTTTATTTTTACATTTGCTGGCAAGTTGGCAGTGTTCTTGTAAGAAGTGACACTGATGCATGGACTACTCAAGCAACCAGTCTGGTTGCATCTCCTGTTTTTGTGGCATTCTCCTTTGCGTACGACCTGCACCACGCTACTGCGCAGGCTGCAAGCAGAACAGACAGCGGGAAGAAAGGTGCTGGCAGCACCAGCCAGGACTGAGATCTCCCACGCTTGTGGTGACTTTTTGCCTCTTATGTTTTATATTTACCACTCAGAGCAGGTGTCCCTCAGACTCTTCTAGCAACATCATTCTATCAAGCACAAGGTTGTGTGAACCTGCCAGCACAGAGGTTACATGCTGTACTCAAACCCCCTCACTCGCTGGCTAACCAGTCATTGCAATCACAGCACTGCCAAGAGAACAAGAGACTGGGACAGCAACAGCTGCCAGAGACCTGGACGGACAACGAAGGGCAACGCACCAACGTAGCCCCTGTCAGAGCAATAGTGACATCCTCTTTCCAGCACCAGTTCAGGAGCTTGTATTTATTCATGACAGCACTTAAACATGTTACTTTGTGTGTATTGATGTCTGTATGTCCCTATATACACCAGAAGCAGGTCCTTTTCCAATATTTCTGCTCAGTGACACCTTCTATAGCCAAACTGCTCACTGGTCTTGATCTACTGACAAGGTTGCATCTTTGTACACACTCCCAACAAACGTTCTTCTGTTACCCTCTGGAGGGGATCATAGCAACTCCCAAAGCTGTTTGCAGAGTTTCTCTTGAAATCTTTGCAAGAAATGCAAGGTTTCAGTGCTGATGAGGTGTATAACATATAAAGAGAACTGCACGCTCCCAGAGAACTCTGCTTTTCTACTGAAACACTGGGAAGCAGCTCAGCATGGTAAACCTTGCATTTTTATTTTGCCTACAGTTTAAACACATGGACTTCAGCAGCTTCTCTCTTCTGGCTGCTCCTCACCTTCGTGGCAAAACAAAGTAGCTATAAACCCAGATTAATCAGCCAGTTAAGCTGGTTTTACAGACACTTTATGTTGCCAGAGCAGTGTATACTAACTAGTTGGATCACATAAGTGGATCTAGTCCTAAGTATTTTACAAATAACAGATGCTTTTCGCTATACAATAAATACGGTTGCTTCCATGAGGCTCCCTGACCACTTTTCAAGGAACGTTCTCAGCCACACACTCTATCAAAAAAAAAAACAAACCCACCTGCTCCCACACAGTTTCTTTTTCTTGCTCTCCTGAACAGTTGCTCAACACAGATTTCAAAAGCCCGTTAGTCACTAATCATGTAACCACACAGCATTTATTCACAGCATCACCATGGAGAACTGAAAAAAGGCAAAATCCAAGCTGGAAGGGACCCCTGCAGGTCCGTTCTCAACCTCCTGCTCAAAGACAAACTACCTCCAACACTGCGTGAGGCCAAGTCTGGTTTTCTCTAGCTCAATCTTCAAAACCTCCCATGATGGAGATGGCACAGCCTCCCTGCGGACCTGCTCCAGTGCTGCACCAGGTGCCTAGTGCGAAAGCTTTTATCACAGAATCACTGAATTGTTTAGGTTGGAAAAGGCCTCTAAGATCATCAAGTCCAACCATTAACCTGACACTGTCAAGTCCACCACTAAACCATGTCCCTAAGCACCACATGTACACTTCTTTTGAATAGCTTCAGGGATGGCAACTCAACGACTTGCCTGGGCAGCCTGTTCCAGTGCTTCACAACTCTCAGTGAAGAAATTTTTCCTAATATCCAATCTAAACCTCCCCTGATACAACTCGAGGCCATTGCCTCTCGTCCTATCACTAGTTACCTGTGAGAAGAGACCAACACCTGCCTCACTACAACCTCCTTTCAGGTAGTTGCAGAGAGCAAGAAAGAAGAGAAGAAAAGGAACAGAAGACAGTGGAGGAAGAAGAAGTGAGAAGAGGGTAAAGACCAGTAGGAGTTAAGGAGGAGGAGAGTTGATAGAATACAGTGTAAGTGATTAATTGCTAAGGACAATACAATTTACACCACAGTTTTAGCAGATGTGTATGTGTTGCTCCAGCTGTGGGAACAGCAGACTCTCCAGATCTTGTTTCTGACACACAATAACTGCGAACTCTATTATGTGCAAATAATAAATCCAAGCAGCACCTCCAACATTTGAATGAGCAAGAAAAAGAGGGTCATATTTTCAGAAGTGTTAGCACATCTTTGTCAACACCAAACTTAGCTAAATAGCACAAAGGAAGACTACAAGACAATGGTAACACATACCCAAAGCAGTATGTGAGCTTGCAAGTAGATACACGGTATTCCTCTCAGTGGCCCCGTACACCAGGGAGCACCGAGTGTCCGAGCCCGGTGTGGCCGGGAGGGAAGCTGCAGCCCATCAGCTCTGCTCCCCTAGTCAGATCAGCAGCTCCCAGCTGGAATTAAAATAGAGAGTTGTAAGGGACAAAGCATACAAAAGGATCAGGCCCACCCAGAGAACCATAGGGAAAGTATTTAATCTAAAACAAATGTGGCTTTAGGTAAAGAGAAGTTTATCAATCCTCAGGCTGAATGGAGATGTTCAGCTGAGATTTTAAAACCAGGGCTTTCTAAGGCTTCGATTACTTTCCTCACGGCAGCACCACACTTTATGGCCCATTGTTCCCATTTCACTAATTGGCTGCAGTTTCTGTTTATCTTTCCTCATCAGAGTTTGAGCA